AGATTAAAAGTTTATTTTAAATCGAAAGATGAGATGTCCTACTCAGTAATCTATACATATCGTCGGTTAAGTTATTGTCTTTTAAGTCTGGTATGTCGGTTCCAAGTTAGTCTTTTGTCTAGAAGGAATCCAAGATACCGAACTAGGTAACGGACTGTGTCTGAGTAGGGAAGTGAAATTGAATTAAAAAGGATTGGCGGACAGGATCTGCGTCGCAGCACTGTGAAAGTGATATGTTTGCATTTTGATTAATTGATTTTAATGCGCCAGTTGTTGCACCGCTGCTCAATTAAGGAGAGGTGAGATTGTAGGTTTAGAGATGCTATTTGAGGATCTGAGTGGGAGGATAGAATGGCAGTATCATCAGCAAATGTAGCTAGAAATGTATCGGGATTTGAAGGGATATTGGAAGTGAAGAGGATGTAGAGAACTGGGCCCAAGACACTGCCTTGTGGAACACCAGCCTCAACTGGATAGTAAGTGGAGAATTCGGTGTCACAGCGGACTTGAAAGAAACGATTTGAGAGGTAGGATTTGAGGACTGGGTATAAGGATTGGGGTAAATGGGTTTTGAGCTTGAAAACCAAGCCATCGTGCCACACCCGGTCGAAAGCTTGCGCTACGTCCAGAAAGGTACCAGTACAATAATGCTTGTTTTCAAGTGCAGAGGATATATGGTCCACAACATGAAGGCCTTGTTGGACAATGGAATGTCTTGAGCGGAATCCAAACTGATGAGAAGGGATGTTGTAGGATTCGATTATGGGTAGGATGTGTTTGAGAAGGATTTTCTCAAAGATTTTTGAGAGGATCGGGAGTAAGCTTATCGGTCTATAGAATGATGTGTTATTAACAGGTTTACCTGGTTTTGGAAACAGGATGATTATGGAGTGTTTCCACACCAAAGGAAAGTTGGTGGTACGAAGGATGCAGTTGTATAGATAGGTAAGGAATATGATTGCTTTTTCGGGAAGTTGTCTGAGGATTTGTGAAGTGATGGAGATCATATCCAGGGGATTTTCGGGGTTTTAATTTGTTTATAAGGAATTTGACCTCAAAGGGGTTAACAGGTTTTGGAGGTAGAGAGAGAGGAATTGGTGAAGAGAGGAATTCTTCAACATCAGCAGTGTGGGTGAAGAGCCGAATCGGAAACCTAAAGTCGTGCAATGCACCAAGTGTCAAAACTTAGAGCATACAAAGGCTTACTGCCATCACTCGGTGTGTTGTGTCAAATGAGCCGTGCATCACGCCTCTAACACTTGCCAGAAACCGTTAAATGAACCACCAAAATGTGCCCTTTGTGTTGAGGACCACCCTGCAAGCTATCGGGGCTGCATTATCTATAAGAAGCTATATAAGCAAAGCACTTATAACATCTCATTAAAAAAAGAAGAACAGAAGAATCTTACGCAGGTACAGGCACCTGAACTTCTAAATTTGGCAGCGTTTCCTGAATTGCCGAACGAAATAATACCACAATTGACACAAAACCGTTCTACATCAATAGATCATTCCCATCAAGACTCTAGGCAAATATATTCAGACACCACAGTGAAGGATCAACAGCCGCGCCGTCAGACGCCTCAGATTTCAAAACCTAAGACTCAGGCTTCCAAACCTAAGATCCAGACCTCCCAATCCAAGACTCACATCTCCCACATGCATTCAAAATCTCCACGTCAGCAAATGCCTCCTCATCAGATACCTATACTTGAAGAATCACCGCCTGAATATCCAACTCCTGTTTATTCCCATCCTACTCCTCATATTTACTCCCCTTCCCAAGTTCCAAGGGTACATCCTTCATCAGGCACTCCTACTCATAACAGCTTTCCCTCACGAACTCCTACTCAAAACCAACCTGACCAACAATACCCGATCGATTTAATAAACTCCACCCTTGCGTCCTTCCTGAAAGATCTCCAAGAGACTACTAATCACCCTCCAAGAGAGCTACTAATCACCCTCTTCACAAGAATCCTTACCGAAATTCCCTTCAATCTCTCATGATGAGCACAAAGTCCCTAGCTGTTCTTTTATGGAATGCTAACGGACTACACAACCACCGAGACGAACTTGACATTTTTCTTCATGACTACTACATTGATATTGCTCTACTGACAGAAACTCACTTCACTCGACGTTCATATTCTACATATGGGACTACATCACTTATAAATCAGACCACCCCGACAACACTACCCATGCCGGTTCTTACATCCTTATCCATAAATCCTTATCCCGTTCCCTCATTCCTTCTACTCCAACTGAGGCTATTCAAGCAACATAAGTAATCATTTCAACTCGCCCTTTCCATTGAACATTCTCAGCTGTATACTGTCCTCCTGGTCCTACTCTTACCTACAACTTACTTGAATCCTTATTTCAATCATTCGGATCGCGCTTTATTGCTGGAGGAGCCTACAATGCTAAACATCAACGATGGTGTTGTTGAGCATCCAACTCCCGTGGTAACATACTATCTTCTGTCTCAACTTCCAATAGTTACTCTGTCCTCTCTCCTATGAATCCTACCTATTGGCCAACATCCGTCAAAAAAACGCCCTGATATCCTGGACATATTTGTCACCTCCCAAATTTCCTCTTCCCATGTCACAATCAAATTACTGGATGACCTCTCCTCAGATCATTCTCCAGTTCTGTTTTCAGTACACTCAATCTTCGCTTCTAAATCCTCGTCTTCTCCTACACTGATTACAGAACGAGTAAACTGGGACAAATTTCGTAAAGACCTGGAAAATCAATTGGACTTAAATATTCCACTTAAAACGTGACATTGACACAGCCATAGAAGTACTTACTACATCTATAAGTGACAAAATAAACGATAATACATCTACCAATAAAACCGACAATCCCCAACAGACAAATTTGCCGCAGCATATTCGTATCTTATTGAGGGAAAAACGCTGAGCAAGATCGAAGTGGCACAGGACTAGATACCCATCAGATAAGACATATTACAACAAATTAGCTAACCAACTAAAAGCTGAAATTAGAAAATACTAAGTTCAAAATTTACTTAACATGACAGAAAAACTTACTACTTCTGACAAATCACTATGGTTGACCACTAAAAAGCTCCTTAAATTCAAAGATTTTAACCACCCACTTATTACTGAAACCCAAACCTGGTCCAGATCTGACTTAGAAAAATCTCAAATATTTGCTCAGCACTTTTCAAAAACATTTAATCCACACCCAGATATCCTTAATCTAACCAACCTTGAGTTTATTGAAGCAGAATTGGATATCTCACTCCAATTGACTCCTCCACCTATAGCATTTCATCCTTCAGAAATATCCAATATCATTCATAGATTACCTTCCCGCAAGACTCCATGGCCATGACCTAATCACATCCCAGATCCTAAAATTTCTTCCTAAAAAAGCCATACTGTTCCTAACCTATATATATAATTCTGTACTCTGAACCACATATTTTCCTGACTCCTGGAAGCTATCCATTGTCAAAATGATACCTAAACCCATAAAGCCGACAGAACACCCATCCTCTTACCGTCCTATCTCTCTTTTACCCATTATGGGCAAAATCCTGGAAAAACTCATCTTAAAACGCCGATATCCCATCCTAGACTCTAAACACATTATCCCAGATCACCAATTTGGATTCCGCACATCCCACTCCACTATTCAGCAATGCCATCGTGTGGTAGATGTAGTCTCCTCTGCATTGGAGCGCGGAATGTACTGCACGGGAGTCTTTCTCGACGTTGAACAGGCGTTTGATAGAGTCTGGCATCCGGGACTGATGTACAAACTCCGTAAATTCCTACCACCTACATACTTCCTCATTATCCGTTCCTACCTTACTGACAGATACTTCAAAGTCAATCATAACAATGCTTATTCATCTCTTTTTACTCAGTCTGCCGGTGTTCCTCAAGGTAGTATCCTAGGTCCTATCCTTTACACAGTTTATACAGCTGACATCCCAACCCAATCCAACACTGTCATCACCACCTATGCCGATGACACGTGTATCCTATCAGTTAATAACGATCCATCTATTGCATCCCAAACTCTTCAATCACACATCACAAGTCTTGAAAAATGGTGTCAAAACTGGAGGATTAAAATAAATTCCAATAAATCCCATCAAATTACCTTCACTCTTCGTCGTAAACCTATGACTTCCTGTCCTACAGTATCCTTCAACAATAGCCCTCTTATCCCTGTCGAACAAATCCGATACTTAGGACTCCACCTTGACAAACGACTCACTTGGAACCCCCATACCAGACTGAAACGACTAGAAACCGCCCGACGTTTTCGACTACTGCAGCACTTACTAGACAAACGATCTAAGCTTTCAATCAATTATAAACGACTCGTATATATGACAATAATAAGACCTATTTGGACTTACGGAATTGAGCTTTGGGGCTCCACTAAACCATCGAATTCCTCTCGTATCCAATCCTTACAATCCAAAATCCTTCGTAAAATCCTCAACGCTCCTTACTTTGTCACAAATAAAATCATCCATAAAGACCTTAATGTTCCATATGTTTCCGATTTGGCCCAATCCAGATACCTATCCTTCCATAACAAACTGCAGAACCATCCGAATCCTCTCGTTTCAAACCTTGCTTCCTCCTCGATCCCTGATAACCCTCCGAGGCGTCTGAAAAGAAGATGGCCTCGGGACCTTCTAATATAGAACTTTAATTTGAGTTCTACCAATGGGTAGTTTCTCTTCATGTTGTACATGTCATGTTACCAATGTCACATTTACTTATTGTATTCTCTATGTAATACAGTTGTAAATTTCATTAAAATAAATAAAATTAAAAAAAAAACAACTATTATATTCGCTATTTATTTATTAAAATAGGGAGTATTTTTTTTAGATACTTCTTAAATTTAATTTCGTCATTGTGATTAATTTTGAATTTATTTTTGAAATCTGTATCGACATAAACTGTTTAGTTGGAAGGTCAGTTGTTAAGGTTTATAGCCTATTTAAATGAACCTGAGGTTATGTGACTGTGTTACATCGAGTTTGATATTGTTTTCATTGTGAAGTGTTGATTAGTTCTGTATTACTTCGAAGTTTAAATAATTATTAATATACTTTAGAAATGTTGAATTTTGGTTATAATGCTAGAAGATATATTTATGTTTTCATATTTACTATGCCTCTTACTTAGTACTGATGTTACATAGGTAAGTTTTGTTATTGTTGTTCATTCCCTTAAATTGATCTTTCTATTTTTTCCGTTTGAATGTATATTGCTTTACAATTTTCTTTTAACATGAAGTATTTTGTGGATCAATGATTTGATTACATATTTTTTTTTGTATTCTTGTTATACGAAATGATTTTTAATTTAAGGTAATAGCATTTTCATTTGTTTTCAGACAAAAAGTCTGTTTTAGTATTATTGTTTAAAGTTATATTAGCAGTAATTACTTAAAATATTGTTTATCTGCTGTTCTTGAAAGATTTGTTTTGTTAGTTAAAAAGTTTATATTAGTTCCTTAATTCTTACTATTACTAGTATCTTAGTTCAAATATAGTTAGTTTAGCAATTTTTACAATATTTTACTTGGACTAACTTGACTATTACTTTTACTTTGATTGTTAGGTAACTAAGAGTAAACATTTCCAAGAGATGATAAGTGCATGAGAATAATCAAAATCCTTTTAGAACAACTTTGTAAAATGTATGTTATGTTGAATGGTTATAGTATCTGTCTGAATTCATTTTCTATGTAATTAGTTTTTCGAATCTACATAAGCAGTTTTTTTTTTTTTTACTTTTATCTTTCCAATTCAGAAACTCCATATGCTTAATACTTTATTGTAATGTTGGTAGTATTCTTATGTTTCCAAATCATATGTGTTTCTCTGGTTATGCAATCCCAGTGCCTAGAGTTACGTACTTGGGATGTCCAACTTATTTTCTCATTAGCACTTAACCAAGTTATAAAAAATTTGTTTTGATGATGGATCAATTTGCCAATCTTGTATTTTCCAAGTTAATTCGTGAAGTATGGCAGTTATTGATAAACAAAATTGGGAACAGTTCTTGTGTGAGCCATTTACCAGTTCTTGTTCCCAATGTTATTGGTAAATTATTTTGCTTTTACCAGATAGTTCAATTTTGTTTTTTATGGGTCGTAAGTGCTGTTTGAATACGTCATACATTTGCCAGTAGATAGATCGTAATTGCTATATATATATCCCAGGTAGTCCGGGAGACCATGTCAAAAGAGCTGTAATATTTCATACTTAGCTTTGTCCTTATAAATTGATCATATCCACAGGTCTGATGAGAAAAATCCTCCTCTGACAGCATATAGCCGCTGGAACACAAAATAGAAGCTATGTGAAGATAGAAGAGACCCTATATAGGTTGTAAGCTTATATATAGAGAGGGCTTATATATATATATATAAAACTCCCAATCCTTTTGATTTATAGTATTTAAAGTCTTAAGACATAAAATAATAGTCAGTTACTCCATACCCTTGGATTTCAAGTCGAAAAACTGAGTTTACGATTTAAAAAGTTTATTTTTTTTTGGTTTTTCGCTTATATTAGCAGAACTATACGTTCTATCTATAATATTGTGATATGTGAAATTAGAGCTGACAAAATTTGCAATAGAAATGGTTATATTAGTTTATTCGTTATATTTTATAGTTTCCGTGATATCCATCCTCGTAATTCTGTAATTACGAGGAAAAAAAATTTTTGCATTGCATTTTTATCATTATTTGACTCGCTAAATCTTTTTTTTTTTCATTTTACATAAAAGTCATGAGTAAGAAAGTTGTTTATACTAAGTTTTTTTTAAGAATATAAATTACTTTACTATCTTATCTTCAACCATTCAAAGGCTAGAGCAATTATAATTTAATGATTAACCTCCGAAACTATACAGAATAACTTACTGTTCACAATTTTTGTTATTACATAGCTCTTAACCTGTATATAAGACAGTATGTATATGTATATTATGTAAGTCAATGTATACACATGTCTGTTGTCTTATATACAGATTAAGAGCTGTGTAATATCGAAAATTACGAAAAGTAAGTTTTTCTGTATAGTTAGGAGTTCATTATTCATTAAATTATAATTGCTCTAGCCTTTCAATGGTTGAAGGTAAGATAGTAAAGAAATACATATTCTTAAAGACAATTTTATTTTAAACAACTTTCTTCCTCATGACTTTTTTGTAAAATGTAACGATAAAGAGTTGGCTAGCCAAATGATAAAAATGTGATGCAAAATATTTTTTTTTCAGTATTAGTGAATTAAGAGAACGGATATCACGGGAGCTATAGAATATAGCGAATAAAGTAATATAACCATTTATATTGCAAATTTTGTCAGCTTTAATTTCACATACCACATTATTATAGATATAGGGCATAATTTCACTGATATAAGCGAAGAACCGAAAAAAGTATACTTTTTGAATCGTAAATTCAATTTTTCTACTTGAAATCCAAGGATATGGGTTTACTGACTATTATTTCATATCTTAAGACTTGTAAATACTATAAATTGAAAGGGTTAGTAGCTTTATATATCTAAAAGCTCTCTCTATATAACCGCTTACAACCTATGTAGGTTCTCTTCTATCTTTACATGGCCGCTATTTTGTATTCCAGCAGCTATATGCTGGCAGACATGCACTTTCCTCATCATACCTTTGGATATGGTCAATTTATAAGGTCAAACCTAAGTATGAAGTATGACAACCTTTTTGGTCATGGGCTGCAGGACTAAGGGGGTTTCCAACCTAGAGCTTGTGGGGACCACTGTGCCCAAATGACGTGACTCGTGCCCGCCTATCTCTAATATAACTTTTATTGGTGATCATCCTGGTAACAATTTTACTGTTGCCTGCTGAAGATCAATAAGTTTTCAATAAAATATTGTATATATAATTCAATAAATATCCAATAATTAATTGAACATTAGTATGACCAATTTTTTTGAAAGTAGTAATTTTTTTTTTTCACTCATTATTATTGTTTTACATTTTTAAGTATATTTATATTAAAAAATTTAATAAGATTTTATAAATATATTTTTTTAATTATTCATGATATTTACAACTGTATTAGAAATAAAAATACATTCAGTAAATGTGAACACAAGAATATAATAATAACATAAAACCACTTGTTGAGATACTACCCACTGGAAGAACTCTAAAAATGATTTTACAACAGGAGATCTCGAGGCCATATTCTTTTCAGATGCCTCGGAGGGTTATCAGGGATCAAGGAGGAAGCAAGATTAGAAACGAGAGGGTTTGGATGGTTCTAAAGTTTGTTATGGAAGGATAGTTATCTGGATTGGGCCAGGTCGCATATTTACAAACCCTATACTGATTCACACACCTCAGCTCTGCCTGCCCATTGGAGAACTTAAGTCGTTAAAAGTAATAATAATATATATATATATATATATATATATATATATATATATATATATATATATATATATATATAGAGAGAGAGAGAGAGAGAGAGAATTATTAATTAAATTAAACTAAAAAGAACATAATTCAATTAGTATCAGTCAATATATTTATATTATTATAATAAAAAGTCTTTATTATTATTTTTTTATTTATTTTTATAATTTTTTTTATTAAATTCTTATTCCTTATTATTTTATTATAATCTTTAAGAATTATTTATTCTTAGCACTTATTCTTCTTGCCTTTTGACAGTATGGTTTTTCAGTAAAATATTATTTAAAACAACATTAATAATTTTGTTAAATATAAATATATATATATATCAAATTAACAATGATTAATGTGTGTGTGTATGTATATATACATTATACCTTAATAAGGACTTTTTATTAAAATAATGTAGACATTTATTGACACTAATTGAATAATATTCTTTTTATAAAAAATAAGAATAAAAATCAATAATACTAATAAAAAAATAAGGAATAAGATTATAAAAATAATAAAGACTTTTTATTATAATAATATATATATTGACTGATACTAATTGAATTATGTTCTTTTTAGTTTAATTTAATTAATAGTTCTCTCTCTCTCTCTCTCTCTCTCTCTCTCTCTATATATATATATATATATATATATATATATATATATTATATTATATAATACCTTAATAAGGACTTTTTATTAAAATAATGTAGATATTTGAAATTAAATTAAATGAAATGAAAAATAATTTTATTCTTGCACTGAAGTCCCCTTAGAATAATAGTAGAGTCTAAAAAAAAACACCCAGAAGGAACTGCCGTAGGAAAATAGGATATAGCCACTTTAACTCGGTGTGCCAACAAGAAATATGAGAGCGCTTGGGAATCCCAAATAGGAATCTTATGAAGCAATTCATAAGTTTCTTCAGTCTCGCCTCCAGTTCTGTGGACAGCCTTCCGTACACCAGGCAACCGTAGTCGAAGTGGGAGAAAGCAAGGGATGTTACAAGGAGCTGTCTGTTTTTTTTTTGGAATAGAATCGAAGGAATTGTTTAAGGATAGTTATGGATTTACGGGTAATCTGGGAAATGTGGTTGTTCCAAGAGAGGTTCTGATCAAAGATCACTCCGAGGTTTTTGACTGTCGGAAAGAAATGGATGGGACGGTTATTGAGGTAAAGTAAAGGAGAGAAAGAAAGGGAACTAATGAGGTGCTTGGAGCCGATGAGGATTGCCTTAGTTTTGTCTGCGTTCAGCTTTAGTTTATTTTTTTCAGTCAATATCCTCTTGTAGTTTTCGGATAGCCTCGGGCATCTCAGATGGTTGGAACGATAAGTAAATTTGTAGATCGTCTGCATATAAGTGATAGTGGGAATGACTAATGGAGTCAGGAAGGTCGCTAATATAAATGGAGAACAGAGTTGGAGAGAGTGAGGATCCCTGAGGAACATCTCGTGTTAATTGAAGAGACGAGGGAGGAGATTTGTCAGGAATAACACCTGTCTGAGAACGACGGGATAAAAAGATTTTCTGTTTGTCTATGGATGATTGGAGGTCTTGGGTAATCTTTAATAAGGCAGATTGGGCGAAGTATTGGGAACGAGAACTGGATTATAGAGGTTTGAGGAGACAGTTATGCTCAAGAAAGTTGTTCAACTGAGAGTGAACTAATCTTTCTAGAGGCTTGGATAAAATGCAAATGGGTCTGAAATCGGATGCTAGTGAAGGAGCTAGAACTTTGATCAACGGCAGGACAAGGCTTTTGGAAAAATGGAATTTTGGAGGGGAAAATGGTAGATGTGTAGGAGTATAGGAAGTAAGTTTGGTTGGCAGAGTTTAATGATTTTCATAGGAATTTGGTCAGGACCATAGTTGTTGGTTTTGGATTTAAGGATAGTAGAGAGTAGGTCAGTTGGAGAGATATGAAGAAAAAAAACTTGTCTGGGTCAAAGGAGGTTTCAGTGATGGGATAAGGTATGGGTTCGGATGTGAATACAGAAGTAGGATGGTTTGCAAAAAAGGCATATAGTTCGTTCGGATCTATTGGATAAAGTGTGCTGGTTTTGGAGCTTATGACAGAGAGTTTCCTTAGGATTGTCCATTTGGATTGAGGATTAGGTGCTTGGTAGGAGGTTTAGACTGAAAGGAGGTTGGTGTTGAGATCGCCTGCAATTATGACATTTTTAAACAGAGGGATATGTGTAAGGAGGGAGGACTCAAATGTGGGATAATATCGGACACGAGGAGGGAGGTAAATAACGATGTAGAGTAGTGAGAAGGTTCTAGAGAAGACTTGGATAAATAGATATTCAATGTGTGGGATATCAGAAGAAGGTGATTTTAAAAGGATTTTGGCCCTCAAACTATCATGAACGAACAGACCAACGCCTCCTCCAGATCGATCCGCCCGATCATGACGAAAGAGGGTATGGTCGGGTAAGAAAACAGATGGTGAGGGGATATCAGGTTTGAGCCAAGTTTTGGATACAGCAATAATATGGTAGAAATTGTGGTGAAAATAATTTAGGAATTCGTCATAATTAACAATAATAATTAATATATATATATATAATATTACTTTTAAACGACTTAAGTTCCCCAGCTTGCAGGTAGAGCTGAGTTGTCTGAATCGGTATAGGGTTTGTAATGGTGCAGCCCTCAGGGCTGTTACAAACCCTAAACGAGTACATATGGGTGTCTAAATTCGTATAGGGTTTTGTGAATATGCGGCGAGGTCAGAAACATAAGGAACATTAAGGTTGTTATGGATGATTTTATTAGTGACAAAGTAAGGAGCATTGAGGATTTGACGAAGGATTTTGGATTGTAAGGATTTGATACGAGAGGAATTCGATGGCTTAGTGGAGCCCAAAAGTCCAATAGGTCTTATTGTAGTCATGTATATGAGTCTTTGTAATTAACTGAAATCTTAGAGCGTTTGTCTAGTAAGCAGTCGGAAACGTCGAGCGGTTTCTTGTCGTTTCAGTCTGGTATGAGGATTCCAAGTTAGACGTTTGTCCAAGGTATCTGATTTGTACAACAGGAATAAGTAAGGAATTATTAAAGGATACTGTAGAACAGAAGGTCATAGGTTTAAGGATTTGATGGGATTTATTGGAATTTATTTTAATCCTCAAGTTTTGACACCATTCTTCAAGGTTTGTGATGTGTGATTAAAGAGTTTGGGATGCCATGGTTGGTTCATTATTAACGGATAGGAAATATGTATCATCACCATACATGGTAATGACAGTGTTAGGATGAGTTGGAATGTCAGCAAGGAATAAACTGTGCAAAGGATAGGACCTAGGATACTACCTTGAGGAACACCAGCAGACTGGGAAAGGAGGAATGTATAAGCATTATTGTGATTTACTTTGAAGTATCTATCAGTTAGATAGGAATGGATAATGAGGAAGTATGTAGGGTGTAGGAATTTACGGAGTTGTTAAGCAGTCCTGGGTGCCAGACTCGATCAAAAGCTGATTCTACATCGAGAAAGGCTCCCGTGCAGTACAATCCGCGTTCCAATGCTGAGGAGGCAACATCCATCACACGATGGCATTGCTGGATAGTGGAATGGGATCTGCGTAATCCAAATTGATGATTAAAACTTAAATTTGAAAAATATAAAATAACCTATCCGCAATTTGCTTTGAATAAAAACATGGTGCCGCCCAACTAAAACATAACATCACAGGCGGATCTAAGGGGAGCTTTCGGGCCGAAGCCTCCTCCCTCCCCAAGTGATAAAATTTAACCTTATTTTATGGAAAAAATTACCTCTTATTGTCCGTATAATTACATTTAATCGGACTTCAACTATCACTTAAACACCATTTTTTATAGCTTTTTTTTCCAAAGTAATTATCGTTTTATGTATGAAAAAAAAAACCTATTGGGCTGAAGCCCTCCCCCCCAAAAATTAAATCCTGGTTCCGCTAGTGCATATCATATAAATGTGCCCTCTGGTGAAAAATGGTTGAGAACCCCTGCTCTATACAGCCGATGGTTTGGTCACTAGATCTCACTCATTTTTTATGAAAGTTTTCAACTGCTGTTTATATGGTAACTGTTTGGGTAGAGGCCATGTTCTCCTTTATTAGTGATAATTTTAACAAAAGGTTCATTGTTTTTATTCAAGTCATGTTAAAATGTATTAGAAAGTTTGAGGAGTTAGTTCATTGGATTTGCATGAATCTGTGGTTTGTTGGTGGAATCTGTTTAGTTATTAATTAGTTATGTTATGTTCTATGAGAATTAGGATAAACTAATAAAGGAATTCTTTGTGGATGTAGTTTTGTGTGGGGATGTTTCGGATGTGGTTCTGTAATGGTCATTCTTTAGTTAATTGTTGCCGATGCCTCCTCCTCTCTTTAGTTTGTATCAGACACAAGCTGCTGTCTTTAGCATTGTCTCAGCTCTTTCGTTTCTTTGCAGTGCATTACCCAGGCAGTTAAGTTTGTATGCCTTGTTTTTTTTCTTCCTCTTAAATATTAAAGGCATCTAGGGATTAGCAAGACATACTTATTACTGATTTCAAAGGCATCTGATATCTTTGATAACTCAAATATGCTCAAGTGGCTGAAATTTGTTCTAAAAATATAAGCAAAGACAAATTTTGAATGACCTATATACTTGTTATTTTTATAGTACAATAATCCCACCAAAATTTGGAATTATATGTTTATCTATAGAGAAGTCCAATTTAAGACAATTTTACGAAGTTTTAATATATATTTATATTCATGATATAAATAAATAAAAAATATAACAAATTATTTGTTGAAAGTAAATAACTACTGTTTTAGCTTAATTTTCCTCCCTAAAACATATATTTTATTTTAGGAAAATAAGAGTTAAAAAATATTTGCCTGATGTGTACATTTGTGGAAGAAAATTTAATTCTAGAAAATGGCTGCTCTGTTTGACCCAAATGACAGAAGCAGGTAAGTTCATGAAAGTAAGTTTAATTTATTACTTTTTGGGAAATGTGAATATGTGAAAGTGTAAAATTACATCATAGTTTTAAAAACCCAGAAGCACCCTACTTAGTTCATTGATCATCTGTGTGTTGATCAACTATCTTTAGTTACAAAAAAATAAAATAAAATGTAAAAAGAAACATTTTGTAACATATCACTAAACAACTGTTATAAATACCAATTTGAAGGTATCAGATCTATTCGTTCTATCTCTAAAAAATATATTTATATGTGTGTGTGCATATGTGTGTTTCATAATTTAGTCCTATGCTGGTTTAGTTTCTCAGTTAGGGTCCTATTGTTTATGAATTAATTATCTGTTGGTGATATGGACTAATTAAGCCTTGAGTTTAATAAGCCTTATTTTTATTATTATATCCTATGCTCTTTCCACAAATGGAGACAAATTCGAATTAAATGCATTAAAAGTCCATTATTGTTAAGTTATCACTCTGTACTAGGTAACCAATCAACTTGAATAATATTTCGGTATGACAGTTTTAATAAAAAAATCTATATTTTTAAATATCTACTGCCATTAAGTCCCTGCTGCATTATCAGGCTTTGGTGTTTTCTAAGCAGAACCCAGATTTTATATAGTAAAACCTTCAGAATATGCAATATTATATAAAATAAAAACATGTAAAGTATACTGTAAGAAAACGTAAAATGTGCTTCAGAAAACTTTAACCCTAGTATAACACACTGAGGTGTGAAACACCCCACAACATATGCCGTTTATAGTGTTTATATTTTTTCTTTTATATGTACATATGTTCTTTAAGTGTTTTTTATTATTTCATTAATATATGTGTCGTAAAATAAAAGTTGTTTTTTTTGTTATTACATTTGTTTTTGTATCTGTTTACACTTACTTACTCCATAATACGAATATAATACAATAATATGAAGATGGAAGTAGGAGCAGGCTTATCACTGCGTTATCGGAATTATCAGTGTTTAGGTTATAAACATTGGCAGATAGCAGTCAGTGCCGGCATGCTAGTCAAAAAGTACCCTATTTTTTAGTATGGTAACTACCAAAGAAATGTTTTCTTCTCCTGAAGAAATCCATAAATTGTTATGGTAGTTAGAAGATGGAGAAAAGATGCATGGAGCATATTAACTAAAGATGGCACAGTAACTTTTGATCAAATGTTCCATGTGTGTTAACAGCCAGATAAAAAAGGAGACTGTCTCTCCGATTTTTCTTTGGAATGTTGAACTATGCTCGTATAAAAAGCATGGTATTGTAGAGTCGATCCAAGATTTCAATGTTAAATAGGACAATGCACTTACTTTTGCCATCAAAAATAATAATAAATATTACCGCTTATAAAGAAAATAAGAAACAAACTGAAATTAAACAGAGCCATGACAAGAGAAACCTTAATGCCGTGGAGAGAAACCTTGGTTTATACAGTTTTGGTAGCCCTTAGGCGCTAGGGACAATTTTTCTTCAGGCCCCATTTAGTCTGTGGGTCAGACCCCTCTATCGTGCACCCTCCTCTCCCCAGCCCCCACATCCCTATAAATTGCATATCGTTGTGTTCCTTGTAACTATTTATTAAAAAAAAGCCAATGTTCCCACAAAAAAAAGTTAACGCATTGTCCCAAAATGGCGTCCAAAGATGGCGGATTGACGACTTTGACTTTAGTTAGTTTTTTGATCACTGAGAATCAGTACTTGGCTTAATTTCCTCATGGTTGGTCTTTTATTAAAGCTGAATAGTCAGAGAATAATAAAACATGAACAAATATTAAAAAATAATTTGCTTAGGCAATAAAAAACACCAGTAAAGTCGAAAATTAAAAAAAAAAAAAAATTCAAGTTGAAAATAAGTGTTGTTTGTAATTAAACGGCCAACAATAACGCAAAATTTGCTGAAATAAAACATTTGGAGAATATATTTCTCTTTCTAAAACACTGGTTACTTTTTAAAATATTTGAAGCGGTTCCGTAGAAAATGCACTTATGCGAGAGAAAAGCGGTGCTGGCGTAGGTGCCTACAAGCCTCTACCACACCATTCTGTACTCTTAAATGGCTCAGTTATAGTGATATAATAACGTTTTTGGTACATTATATTGGTTTTATTAACGAACAAACATTAATCCAATCATTTAGTTGTCAACAAAAAATTAAACAATTTTTTTTTAATTTATTATTTTATTTTATTTTTTTATTTAACTTACTTATTTCTATATGGAGGTCGTTTAAGTAGACATCTATTATGAAAATGATATAATTATAATAATAAATGTTAATTAAAAAATACTTTGCTGAATATCTTGAATTTTTTATTTAATGTTTGCAATTTAAAACTTTGTTTTTTTAATATTTACTGATTCTTAGAGGTAATTTAAATTGCATATACTTTCCAGGAAATGAGTCATATCATTACCTGTTTTATAAACTAAAATAATATATACCTAATCTGAACTACATATAATGAATAGTTGCCGGGTTGTTTAGTAAAACTTATTGTTATGAAATTGCGGAATAAATTGTTCGGAAGTTGGACCATATCATAAAAAATTAGAAAATTTTTATATTGAATGCATTATTCCCTCTCCACAAATAAAGATGGAAAGGGCAAAACTATAAGTTCTTCTAGTAACCGGAACTGATTGTTTAGATTTGGTCTCAAAATGAGGAAAAACTCGAAAGTGAACAAAAAATTGGAAAAATACATTAAGTGAACAAAAAAGGAAGCGCCAAAATCCTGGAAAAGAAAAAAAGGACCGGTATCCGTTATACAGCTAAACGAATGTATAGTAGACAGATGAACAGAATATTTCAAGATGCAGGTTTAAACATTAAATAAAAAATTCAAGATATTCAGCAAAGTATTTTTTAATTAACATTTATTATTATAATCATATCATTTTCACAATAGATGACTACTTAAACAACCTCCGTATAGAAATAAGTAAGTTAAATAAAAAAATAAAATAAAATAATAAATTAAAAAAAATTGTTTAATTTTTTGTTGACAACTAAATGATTGAATTAATGTTTGTTCGTTAATAAAACCAATATAATGTACCAAAAACGTTATTATATCACTATAACTGAGCCATTTATGTGCACAGAATGGTGCGGTAGAGGCTTGTAGGCACCTACGCCAGCACCGCTTTTCTCTCGCATAAGTGCATTTTCTACGGAACCGCTTCAAATATTTTAAAAAGTAACCATTGTTTTAGAAAGAGAAATATATTCTCCAAATGTTTTATTTCAGCAAATTTTGCGTTATTGTTGGCCGTTTAATTACAAACGACGCTTTATTTTCAACTTGAAATTTTTTTTTGTTTAAAATTTCGACTTTACTGGTGTTTTTTATTGCCTAAGCAAATTATTTTTTGATATTTGTTCATGTTTTATTATTCTCTGACTATTCAGCTTTAATAAAAGACCAACCATGAGGAAATTAAGCCAAGTACTGATTCTCAGTGATCAAAAAACTAACTAAAGTCAAAGTCGTCAATCCGCCATCTTTGGACGCCATTTTGGGACAATGCGTTAACTTTTTTTTGTGGGAACATTGGCTTTTTTTTAATAAATAGTTACAAGGAACACAACGATATGCAATTTATAGGGATGTGGTAGGGGGAGGTGCACGATAGGGGGGGTCTGGTCCACCGTGTAATGCTATATACAATGCCTCCCTAAAACAGAATAATGACTTTAAATAACGAATGCAACAGAAATATCATGTTCGGATCTTACAATATTGTCATATAATGCTTATAAGATGTGTACAGGGTGTCCCATCAGTAATGAGAAATATTTGAAGAGGTGATAGTAGACCTACCCAAAATTTCATTTTAACCGTCGTTCAATTTTCTGCAGAAAATTAGGAAATTTGTTTCTGTGTTTTTTAAAGTAAGTTACGTTTTTTTGTTAATAGGAAGCGATAACTAAAAAAATATTTGTATTTTAAAAATATTATTAAAGTAATTAAAAATGATTTCATTAAAACTAGACACTTTACCTTCAACTTCAAGTAGAACTTTGTTTCTTAAAACTATTCAAAGAAGACTTTTAAGCAGCTTAGTTCAGTTCTTTCTAAAGTCATAGTTAATTCCCGATTTTTTTTTCATCATCTCCAAATTGATAAAGGCACTCTACTTTTAAGCAAATTTGCTTGTTAAATAAGCTGAAAGTCTATATTACTGAAGTTGAGGTTTGCTACAGAATATGTTGAGATCCATCCCTAGTTGTGTAACAAATGATGAGCTTTGATATTCAATCACCCAGCAAATTTTTCTCACAAACATGACCAGAATAAATTGTTGTAAAGCTTTCATTTCTTTTTTTTTTTCTTTCCAGCTGTATATCAATTTCAAAAAGGCTTATGATTCTATCTAATGGGGTTACTATAATCCATTTGGTGATTGATAAAAAAAAATTGCCAATAATCATTGTTAGGCTACTTCGACAAGTTGTTTCCAGAATTACAGTATGTAGAATTTGCCTAGGACACTATTGGGAGGTAACAGTGGATGTTAATTAGCATATAGCTGATTGGGACTCTTTAGCTCTGTGTGGTTTAAGTTTATAGAGCTCCTTGCGGAGGAGACTCCCACTCTTCATTCTCTTACTGACTCCTGTTGCTTAACTCATCCTCCCCCTCCTAGTTTAATTAATACAAAATAATTTATATTTAAACATATTTTTCATCTTTCTCTTTCTTCTCTGTCTGTGCCTTTCAGCATGATGATACTTCTTCCCACTTAGACCACACACCTCAGTCTCTTATGTGCTCCTTCATATAGTCTAGTGTTTTCTCTTGTTTGTTTTTCAACTTTAGGATATTTCAAAATGTTGGTATTAAATTATAGCTACTAATTAAATTTTATTGATGTCAATATATTATGCTGTAAAGTTGTGCTATATTAATCATGAAAAAATTTTCAGTTGGTATTTTGGTCAAATGTCAAGGCAAGATGCCACTGATCTTTTAATGGGAGAAAAGGAAGGTGGCGTATTTCTTGTCCGTGATAGTATCTCAATTCATGGTGATTATGTTCTTTGTGTAAGGTATGATATTCTTTTATTTCTTGTTCAGTATAAGTATTTATTTAATAGTTATTTATTTCTTCCTCATATTAGATTTATATCTTATAATTTAATCAAAATTTAAATTTTCTTATGAACGAAAAGAGTTTTAATGAAAATTTGTAATCACTTTATATAGCTTCATTATTTTGGTACTGTTTCATTAGAAACCTCACTTGTTATCTAACGTCACGTCACATAACCTCCCTCTTCTTATCTCGCCAAACCTTTCAGTTATTACATTGTTTATTTTTCAGTTATTCCCTTATTACGTTCAGTTATTGAATTCTTTATTTTTGGCCCATTTGTGTTTATTTTGAAATTTATTTTCATCAAATTATGAATCTTGTTATATTCTGGGATTTACCGTTTCAGAAGAACAGGCTGTTCAATATTTTCAGAACGTTGGGATACTTGCAGACGTGAAATTGTGTGAATGAGGTCATCAAATGAAGTTAACCAGGGACGCGAAATGGAGATGCTGTCGTAGCACTTGTAACGTAAAAGTTTCATGTGGGGAGAGTTTTACCTGAGCAATGGATGTTTGCTGAGAAAAAGATGAGTGTTTTATCGTCAAAAATAAATGACAGAAAGGCAACAACCTTATTAGAAGGAATTAAAGACAATATAGAAGAGGAAACCACCATCAGATTGTTGGAAAGGATACAACACACGACAACTGAACGAAGCAAACTATAACCATTTCCAAGTGAATCATCGCTATAATTTTGTTGATCCATCAAGTGGTGTTCATATTCAACACACAGAACGATTATGGGGCTCAGCTAAGTGGAAAAATGAAATACATAGAGGAACTGCCAGACAACACCTCGATTCATATTTATGCAAATTTTTGTGGCGGCGAGTTCACCCGTTCCTCACTATTTTAAATAGCATAAAACTATTTTGCCTACCAAAATAAATAAGACGAAGTGGAAATAAATTGTACATATGTCGTTTATAGTGTTTATATTTTTTTCTTTTATATGTACATATGTTCTTTAAGTGTTTTTTTATTATTTCATTAATATATATGTCGCAAAATAAAATTTTTTTTTTTTGTTATTACATTTGTTTTTGTTTCTGTTTACAATTTCAATAATACGAATATAATACAATAATACGAAGACAGGAATTACGAGAAAGCTTATCACTGCCTTATCGGAATTATCAGTGTTCAGGTTATAAACATTGCCAGATAGCAGTCAGTCCCGCCCGGCTAATGAAACAGTACCATTATTTTAATATAGGAATCTTTGCACCATTGAAACTGAGAAACTCTATTAAAGAATCCTCAGCCATATGGCATCACCACTTCCTTCCAAAAAATATCATAAGAAGAATACTTTACCCCAAAATCTCACTGATCTTATTAAATCCTAACAGCATTCTGGCAAAGAACCAGGCATTCTGATGATCAGAAATTATAAAATAATTATTCCAAACAGGTTAAATAAAACTGGCTACCTTTTGATCCCAATCCTACAATTCTTCACTATTTGCTGGTGATAACTCCTTCCGGAAATTGACCCAAAAAATCTTAAATACCTCTTTGTTTCCCACTCCCTCTGACGTGATGATGGAACCTGTATCGTCAAATGGGACTAGAGCAGAAGAATTTCCCAAATACCTATCCAACTCATTCACTGCCCATTCTGAACTCCTTACTGCTGAAGTTAAAGAATACATCTTTTCATCGATTTCTCTTTCCTTGCCTCCTAAAGCTGTCTCCAGTCATCCCTAAGTCCTTCTAAAACAACAGTGGTCCCGAGATATTTTATTAATATGCCATTGGAGTTCCGGCAATGGCCAGCTTCTCCACTTGAGTCATGAGTGTCTGTGCCTTTAGTGCCCTCTTTCAGTCTCCATTGGAGGACTCCCATACCCGTGACACGGCTGAGAGAGAAGCACTGGGATCCCTTAGAGTCTTGCCTTGTCCTCCATAATTAGGGAAAGGGCCAGACTCTGAGCTCCTTTGGCTGATTGTACATATTGTAATTAAGTATGAATTTGTTTTGTTTTTTTATATATATAAATTTCTATATTTTATTTTAAATGAAGTTTTATTTCTTTGTTTGTAATTGTATTTCTTTATTTCTTTGTTATTTTCGTATTATATGTATGGTATCAATGAGTCTCACTTAGCTCTTGTACTTCCTCTCATAAGTGGCAAAATGTATGCTGTCTTAATAAAAATAAATAAAACAGTTCCATTATTCTTCTTCACTCGATGGTATTACGGGTCTTCCTTCAAGGGCCAAAAATCTTTCTTGAGAATTTCCTCTCCCATGCATTAAGCATTTGTTCTGACTTTCTTGTGAGGACCCATGCCTCACTTCCATACGTCACTACTGGTCTAATAATATTAACATATACGGCCTTCTTCAATTGCCAAGGTAACAGATTTGACCTAAGTACTTTTCCAAGCGCCCAGCAACATCTACTTCTGGTCATCATGTGTGACTTTATTTCTGCCTGTGTATCATTCTTTTTGTTAATGTTGAATACCTCAATGTATTTAAACTCTTGTAACAGCTCGAAAAAGTACTCTCCAATCCTAAGACCATTCCTTACCCCACAATCACCCTGGGAGGTCTTCATATACTTAGTTTTGTCTTCATTAATGATCTTGATTAAATAACAACAAATTGAGTAACTTTAAACTAATTTATTATAATTTACTTTACGTATATACACATGTTAAAACATACATAACAGCTGGTAACAAACACATAATGCCACTTTTATATTTTACATTAAATATAGTCTCTATAGTTCTTATAACCTTTAGGCTAGACTAGATGATTCTCTTGAACCCTCTAGAACTTAGTCCCTATTTTTTAAATGATGTATTTTAATAAGTAAGTATGTTTCTTAATAGTTATCTTACCCTATTTTTTTCATATTTTAACTTTCAGTGATAATTGCCATTTTCCAGTAAAAATTTATAATTGTCATCATTTGAGTTACTTAATTTATTATCACACAACCTTTGACACTTTGATTTTTTGTAATACTTATTATATGCATTCTACTCCCTCTCTCCACTGTTTGTTTTATGTATCTTATGAATTTTCTTTATTTATTGTAATAATTAATTTAATTTAAGAATATCTGCAGAGTTATAGTTTATATATTTTTTTCTTTATATATTATACTGCTTGAGATTTTAGTTACGGTCATGCTTAATAGTTTAATATACTTTAACAATAATCATTTTAATTTAATTCATTAAGAATATCTTCATAGTCATAGTTATGATTTATATATTTTATGCGATTTTAAATTTCAATTTGGGTCATACTTTAAAAATGTTTTTCTCATTGGCAAACACTTTTAGTAAGCAGACTTATTATCATTCCCCAGTGATATCTATTTAAGAGAAGTACCACTTTATCAGAATGTCAAAGGTTGAGTGGTTATGAATCAAGTATATAATTCAAATATACCTCATAATGGAAATTTTAATTTTTGACTATGAAATGACTATTATCTATTAATAATATATTATATTAGAAAACAATGTGAATGATTACCAGCAAGTGAATAAAGTAAGAGAGATTGTGTGTCAAAGTAAGTAACTTATATTAACAAATACATCTATTTGTTAAAATATATACAATAGATTTATTTATTAATTAATAACAGATTCTGAAGTTGAGTGAAAACATCTTGAAACGGTGATTAAATTTATATAAAATGGACAGTAAATAAAAATAAGGAAGACTCAGGTCACAAATTAGTTTTATATATATGTTATATTTTGCAGATTTTTTTTTTCATTTTTAAATAATCTCTTTTTTTTCCAGGGAAGATAGTAAAGTAAGCCATTATATTATCAACAAAATTCAGCAGAATGATCAAATTAAGTACAGAATTGGTGATCAAACATTTAATGATTTGCCCAGTTTGCTATCTTTCTATAAATTGCACTATTTAGATACTACACCTCTAATTCGACCAGCACCAAAGAGAGTTGAAAAAGTGATAGCTAAATTTGACTTCAATGGAAGTGTAAGTAAACTTGTTATACAAGATACCGCCTTACAATTATTTTTTTAAAGTTATATTAAGTGTGATAAAAACCAAAATAGCTCATATGCCTCTAACCCTAATCTAATTTAGTTATTATATACATTAATTTACTTCTATATGAACCTTTTATGACCTGTGAAATTAACTATTTTCAAAGTTTTATGAACTAATTCCTGCCTAAAAAGTGATGACATCTGTCAAATTCATAGGCAGGGTATGTAAGGGTCATCAGACCATTGGCCAGGTGGTAATTCCAATTCTCATTTTTTACCAAAAAGTCTTTATATAACATGGTCCCTTTACACAATAGAGAAGCAGTAAATTCAATATCTGTGTTTTTATGTTGTTTTTTTAAAGTAAGTTACCCAAAACAACTTGTTAATTTAGGTATTTACCAATGGCAGCATCATAAACTTTACGAAATCTTCTTGAAAAGAAAGTAGAATATAATAAACTTTGCAAAATCTTCTTGAAAAAAAGTAGAATATAATAAACTTTACAAAATCTTCTTGAGAAGAAAGTAGAATATAATTTTCTAGTCATATTTTTAATGTTTGGATATTATATTATTATTTGTTATTTAAATAGTTTTTGGCCTAAGGTTTCCAGAAAATTATTTTTCCTTAAATATCCTTTCATTGTTGCCAATATTTTGACTTCATGAGCCATTTTCAAGTATAAAATGTAAAAAATTATAATATTAGTTAATAGAAAATTAAAATATTTCGATTTTTACTCATAATTTTTTTTGGTAACTTGACATATATATACGTTAATAGACATAATATAATTGAATATATAATAATTGAAATAAGATTATTTCAGTTTTAATGAAAATTATGTTATTTATCATGCATTTTTACTTGATTTGTATAATTTTAAAACAGAAATAAACACAAATTATTCAAATTACAAAAAAAAATGATAACATTATTGTGGGTCCCCAGTCACATAGGAATACCAGGTAATGAACTGGCTGATAAAGCCGCAAAAGAAGCATCCATCATACTTACAGCACCAGACAATAACATAGTGCTTTACGATTTCAATAATTCAATTTTGAACCAGTGTAGAGAGGCCTGGCGATATTTTTGGACAAAGGTTCCTGGTACAAACAAAATGAAAAGCATGTTTAATGACGTGAATCCACTTCCACTGATGCAAGGAAACTGATGGGAGCAGACCATCATCACACGCCTCAGAATACGGCACACCAGGCTCACGTATTGGCACCTACTCGACGGTAGTTCACCACCAAGATGTCGTAGCTGCAATACAGCTTTGATAATGGTACAGATCTTCGAAAATTGTCCGAGCTTGGATTCATCAAGGACCTTGTATCCGCTGCTAGGATATCGACAAGCCCTACAACCTGGAAATCAGAAACACCTACTTCAATTTCTGAAAAAACATAATTACTACAGACATATTTAAACCTCAAAAACGAACTCACAACGTAAATTAGAAATAACCTATTCTGTTGTAACAACACGTTCTTTAAACAAACATCCTAACAACATACACATCTAAAATTTTACACACATAAGACATATTGAAATGTAATTCAATAATCAATATGGTGCCTCTAACCCATAAAGTTGTACATGGTACCGTAAATACAACCAAATAAATAAAACAGAAATAGTCCTTCTAACACATGGCTAGTATTCTGGAAATTTTGTTGATATTACTAAAATTATATAATTTATCATAAGGTCATAATTACTTCTAAAAGGAATCTAGTGTTTTTATTATAATTACTGGGTTTGTGGAGTACTCGTATCCAAATTTACTTGGCTCTCTACATATGACTGTCTTATTATATTTAGAATAGGGGTATTATTTTTAGGCGGAATCGTTAAAATTGGATTTTTTATATTGGTCGAGTGGAAGCATACTTCATTAATTTATCCAGATTTATACAAAGTTGCAATTACATTTAAAAATACACATAAAAACCAGGCAAAAACATAAAAACAATTTATGTAACCTTAGACCAAAAACCATTTCAATAATAATATAGAATTTTTTTTTTTTTTTTTTTTTTTTTTTTTTTTTTTTTTTTTTTTTTTTTTTTTTTGTTATAATCATTCAAGAGGGGCCTTCAAGTGGCTAATTTCTGTTTTTTTTTAAATGATGAACCATAAAAAAATTTTTTATTCAGCATTCTACTGGACTACAAAATCTCCAATTTAAGAAGAATATCATTGTTTACTTTCTATGATTTTAAGAATGTATGAAGTTAAGGTTGTTTTTTTTTTCATATTAAATTGAGTCTCCCCTAGTTTTATTTAAAAATTTAATAATATAAAATTATGTCACCTAAAGTCCAAATGCTTAAGTGTTGCATCTCAATACTACTACCCATTACCGAGAAGACATAACAGCTTACTATTACTACTTAAAATCTCTAAACAATGAATCCTGCCAATTGCTTGAATTGTTATCATGACAACCTAAATATTAATAATAATAATAGAAAATAACTTTATTCTGGGACAAAGTCCCTTCAGAATAACAAAAAAGTACATAATTCAAAGATTACATCTGGCCAAAATAAAATAATAAGAAAAAAAGAGAAAGTAAAGAAAATTTTAGTTAAACAAGCTATATAAAAATTTTTTTAAAAATCTATATACACTTAAAAATCTATGTATAAACACTTAAAACTATGTACAGTAGAAAAAATTATAATTATACACTTTTGAGAAATAAAATAATAAAAAATACATTGAGTTCTTCTTTAAAATAAACTGTGTTTCTGCTAACAAAGGTAAGATGAATCTGACGATATAAAATGTCAGAGTATTTAAATAATGAATAATAGCTAAACATATCATTAACTTATTGTAGCTATAGGTACAATTTTATTTGTATAAGAATAAAAAATAATAAAAAAACAAACAATAGATGCATTCAGTGCGAGCAATAAAGGAGTTTTGAAATGAGGCAGATCTGTGAGAAGGGATGTAATGGTCAGAAGGTCGTGATCTTGTTGAAAGGGAATGGACTGAGGACTTGAATTGGAGAAGGTTGTAGGCGTAAGAAGGACGATGATTGTTGATGATTTGATAAAGGAACTTACCTAGGAAATATTGTCTTCGAAAGGAGGGAAAGAGCCCCTTAACTCAGTTTAGTCGTGAGAGACATGGGAGCATCTCGGTGCACCAATTTTATGCAGCTATTGATTAACCTTTTCAGTCTATCATGGAGCTCCACTGAGAGGCCATCATACACCACACAGCTGCAGTCAAAGTCTGGAGTCTACGGGTATGTTGAGGTAGGAAATGGCGGAAGCAATGAAATAGTTTAAGGGTAGAAATTGTTCCTCAAGAAATGTGAGAAATATGGTAGTTCCAGGAGAGGGTTTGATCTATAAAAAATCGTAAATTTTTAACAGAGGAGTAGAAGGAAATTGGCTGGTCATTAAGGGATAATATGGGAAAGTCGGCATGGGATCTAATAAGGGGCTTGGAATCAATGACAATGGCCTGAGTTTTGGCAGTATTTAACCTTAATCCATTTACATTTGCCCAGGCACTGATTCAATCAAGGTCTTCTTGAATCTTGGCAAATGCAAATGAGTTCCAATAACTCAGGGCGAGAAAACAATAGGTAGATCTGGGAATCATCTGCATAAAGGTGGTGGGAACAATGGAAAATGAATGATGTAGGTCGTTAATATAGGACCTGAAAAGGAGAGGAGATATGCTTGAACCCTGGGCCACTCCAGAGGATAAAGGAAGGTAGGCAGAAAGTGGTTGATTGGGTATGGAGACTGCATGGGTGTGTTGGGATAGGAAAGATTGGAACCAAGAGATGGAACTATTGGAGAAAGATAATGATTTTAGTTTGTTGAAGAGGATGGAATGGTTAATGGTATCGAAGGCTTTGGAGAAGTCAAGAAGTATAAGGACAGTCAATTTTCTATCATCTATTGCAGATTAAATGCCACTGGTAATTTTAATTAAGGCAGATTGTATGGAATAGCCAGGAGGGAAACCAGATAGAAGAGGATCAAATTGGTTGGACTTTTCAAAGGAACTTGGAGACTTGGGATTGCACCAATCTTTCAAGGGGCTTTGAGAGGTTAGAAAGCATTGAGATTGGGCAGAAATCTTTGGGCGAGGATGGATTAGGCTTTTTATTTAAAGGAAGAACAACGGTTTTTTCCAAGAGGTAGGGAATACTGAATTCTGAAGGGAGAAATTGTAGATAAAAAGGAGAACTGGGAGGATTTCAGGGAGACATAATTTTATTAATTTGACAGGGATGCCATCTGGTCCTGTGGGATTTCATTAGAAACAAAATTATAAGAGAAACATTAATATGGTCATCTAATATCATAAGGACCAATCCCTATAATTGAGATCAATGTAAAAAGTTCTAGTGCACTATCACTTTGAATGATAAATTTGAAATATTCATTTTTTGAAAAGGCAGTTCTTTTTTTCATTTGTCTTATAGACCTTGTAGATCTGTGGCTTCCTGAACCAGCTTTCTCCACCTTTGCTTATCTTGAGCCATTATTTTCCAGTTTTCTGTATGCAGCTCTTCAATATCTTTGTTTATTCAATCTATCCATCTGGTTATAAACCTCCCATATGGTCTCTTGTGAAATGTTGAGGTATCGATTGTTGAATAGAGTTCTGTAGGACCCGCTCAACTTATCCTCCTTGCTTTCTTATTATGAGATATCGATTAATCAGGTTCTGTATAGAGTTCGTTATTGGTTCTTTTCCTCCATGTGTTTGTACTCTGATCCTAGATCTCTCTGGTATCATGTGAATAATTTTCCTCCTAAATCTTTCAGAACTTCTTTTTCGGGTGGTGGTTCATTGTCATGTCTCAGTATTGTAGATTCGAGGTATTTGAATTATATCTACTCTAGAGAACTAGTTCCTTTGTATGCAGATCCTATTTTTTGGGTGGAATTTTCATCCTACTATCTTGTATTTCATTTTATCGTGAGAACTCAG